AATTGGCCATTTTAACCATATTCCGTCCAGTGGCATCAATCATATCTACAGTGCTGTGCGACCTTCACCACTACGTGTTTCAAAAACTTTTCTTCGCCCCAAGCTGAAATTCTGCACCCATTCAGCAGTAGTGCCCCATTTTCCCTTCTCTCAGCCCATGATAACCATTCATCTACTTTCTATTTCTATGCATTTCACTAGTCCATATATTCCATTTGCCTGGGGTCATGCACTAATTGTCCTTTTGTGTCTGGCTTACTTAACTTAGTCTAAAGTTTTCATGGTTCAACCCAGTTTCCATGTTTATGTTCACTCTTGCTAAAGCAACCCTGACTTAAGTGTTTCTAAATTTATCATGACGTGCAAAGGACGTTTATGTAGAATAAAAACAGATTCCATTACTGAACAACTCTGGTTACTAGCTCTACACTCTCAAACAAGTTACCTAACCTCTCTGCACTTCAGAATCGTTCATTTCTACAACAAAAATAGCACATCAAGTTAATGTGATGGTTTAAATAAAATAAAGCTTATATAGAAAAGTGAAAGATTATATAGCATACCTGGTACTCAAAAAGAGTTAAATGATTGTTTTCCAATGAAATGCTGCTAATTCGCTGAGAATCGTGGATTTAAACCAAAAGCTGATCATTCATAGAAATATATTTAAAATGCACATTAAGATATTGATATGTAAGTTAATAAAAGGGAGGCCTTGGCGGCATAGAGGTTACGCACTGGGGTGAGATTTGAAAGGTCAGCAGTTCGAAAGCACCAGTCACCCCTCAGGAGAAAGATGCAGCTTTCTACTCCCGTAAACAGTCACCGTCCCTGAAATTCACAGGGGCGCTTCTACCCTGGTCACTTTTGTAGCAGTCTATGATGTAGTCAGCATTTTGTCTTCAACTCCTGAATTCAAATGCATTAACTCTTTCTTTTTCAGTCCTCTCGCTGTCCAACTTTCATATCTAGCTCTCAAGCAACTGAAAATACTCTGATGCACCTGAAGTCCACCAAACGACAGCTCTGGTTTGGTGGTGGTGGTGGAGGGTGACAGCTCTGGTTTGGTGGTGGTGGTGGAGGGTGATGGTGGTGGGGTTTGGCGGGAGAAAGAGCAGGGTTCTTGACACTTTAAAGCAGCAGTTCTCAACCTGTGGGTCGCGACCCCTTTGGAGGTCAAACGACCCTTTCACAGAGGTCTCCTGATTCATCACAGTAGCATAATGACAGTGGTGAAGTAGCATAATTTTCTGGTTTGGGGGCCACCACCACATGAGGAACTGTATGAAAGGGTGGCGGCCTTAGGAAGGTTGAGAACCACTGCTTTAAAGAGGTCTTTTACAGCAGGTTGGCCCAAAGCAAGACCTAAAACGGATGCATTTATAAAGTCAATTTTTGAATCAGACAGATTGTTTTGAGTTGTGGCTCAGCCCTTCCGTAGCTATGTAATCTTGACCCAGCTGGAGGTTCTGCATAAACAAAACCAGGATGACAATAATAACTACCTTCAAAGGTTGTTGAGAGGATGAAAGAGGCACCATATGAGAAATACCTGGCGCATATATTAAGACATAGTTCCCTTAGTGCTTGTTCATACCTCTGCTCATTTGTGAACATTGCAGGTTAAGATCAAATGAAAACAGACCCTGCTCTCAATGACCAGACTGATAAACGGCCACGGTTATTACTCCTCCGTAGAGAGAAGCCGTACGTGCAGTGAAAATCCTACCCAATAACTCCTGGGCTCCTATTGCGGCAGAGCGGCCAGCCAACTCAGCAAAAGCAACTCCTGCTTCAAGGAAGATTGCATTACTCTGGGATTTTCTGCACGGCCCCGGCTGATGGGGGCCTTTTTAGCTAGTGACCCTGGATTTTAACTAATGATCTCCAGCTGTTCTTATTTTGCCTCCCCCGCCCTTCTCATTTAACCTCCTGTCTCCCTGGTCTCACATCCTTAAAGTTCTTACAGGAAAAGGGGGACAGGGCCAAAGTCCTCAACCAAGGTCGCCTATCTTCTTGAGGGGAGATAGTTCCTCCTAACCAGGGCTGCTGGCTTTTATACCGGTGCACAAAGAAACATTCACTGGTGGAGGACGGCCCCTAACAACCTCCAAATGTGTCAAAAAGCCTTTTGGGGTTTTTGATATTATATAAGCCAAGCGTTCAGTGAGGCAGGTCCATAAAACAACCCCCCAAAGTACACAATCCAACACCAAGTTTAATTGCCAACACCTGTGATGGAAAGGCCTCTTTCTCAGTAGATGTGCAATAAAAGACACATTTAGAAGACAGACTGAATACAGACACAGCTTTGCTGAGTCATGCTGAGAACCATCTGCCCGCAAAACTGGCAAAAGGTTTCACTGTTTCTCAAAATGTCAACCTGAGAGATTTGGCTATGGACTAAACCTGAGCTAAGCGGGCCTGAAGCACCAAGCAGGGTCGAGAACACAAAGGGACACAAGGAGGATGAGATGAACTTGGCCCGAAGACTCTCCCTTCTACTGGTGACCTGGGGGGTTCTATCCTGTTCAGAAACACTCTCACCCGCCCACATGTCACTTTCTAAATCTGATCATCCTTTCAAGGGGACTGCTGGTAAGTAGATTAGGAAGTGTACCTTCCATTGTAATTGAATATTTAAAACCAGGCTTTCTTTCAGAGTGCACCTGAGCCTACCACGATGTCTCCTCAGCTAGACCTATAGCCATTTGGCCCTTCCACTTACATTTACAATGATGTTATTTCCCAAGGGCTCAGAAAGACTTTTGAAAATGGCATCAAATTCAGTTATAAACTCATTTTCTAAATTGCTTTCTCCATGTCAGCCATGCTTGGTTCAAAACCTGCTGATTCCATTAGCCACACAAAGAACGACTGGTTCTCCTCTTGGTTTACAATGGCTTGTCTTCCTTTATTTTAACGCTAAATGTAACTCGAATCTCTATCCCATTAGTTTGAAACGACTTAGGACAGAAACCAGGGCTTTTTCTTCTTCTCAGTTTTCACAGCACCCAGCAAAAGACATGCATGTACACACACAGACATATGTGATATTAGTTCATAATAGTTAAGTCTTGTTTTCCTAAAAAAAGAAAAGTATAAGTACGCCCCCCCCAAAATCAGTATGAAGCACAAACTCATAATTACTGTGTTACTTCTAAAAATAGTTTTAAACGAAGTGCTGAATAGGAATCCCTGAGTGATATAAAACAATGCTTCTTTGAGTGGACAAAGTCCCCTCTTGAAGGGCACTGGAATGGCCCAGAGAAGCTGCAAAAGTAGATGACGTTACTGCAGCGGTTCGCAACCTGTGGGTCACGATCCCTTTGGGGGTCGAACGACCCTTTCACAGGGGTCGCCCGATTCATCACAGTGGCAACATGACAGTGCTGAAGTAGCAAGAAACTAATTTTATGGTTCGGGGTCACCACCACATGAGGAACTGTATGAAAGGGTGGTGGCCTTAGGAAGGCTGAGAACCACCACTTTACTGTATCCTGGGCCATAAGCTATGGAATAAAAGTTTACTTCCCGGGGCCACAGGGTTTTTGTTGTTGTTGTTTTCCTGCAATGGAGTTGACAGGCCAGATGTGTTTAAGAACCAGTGGTGTAGATGGCTGGCATCCTTGACTGCCAGTGAAAGGCTGGAGGTTTGAACCCACCCAAAGACACCTCAGGAAAAAGGCCTGGTGTCTACTGTGGTGGAATGAAGTTCCTTCACATGGCTCTTCTCCTCAAGTCTCTGTAACTCCCACTGCACGATGGATTGGGAATATATGTAACATTCTGTAACATTAAGAGAGGGGCGTGGTCAGTGTTCGTGACCACCACCATTCCCAGCTTTGAAGCAGCAGTAGAGAGACAGCCGTAGAGCACCTTGGAAGAACGCGGCCAAGCTCTCTCTGTGTGAAGCAGCACAGGCTGCTGAGCCCAGAGGTAGCAGAGCCGGGGCAGAGAAACTCAGACGAGCATCACCAAGACTGCGGGTGCCTTCTCCTCATCTGGCTCAAGGGGATGGCGCTGACACAGGTCGCCAGGTGGCCTACCTTCCTGGCCCCCCAAAAAGCAAAGGCCAAGAGACTGTGGCTGGGAGACTGAGGAGCAGCGAGAGGCGTGGCTACCACGTGACTGAGAATCTAAAGACCTGAGAGAGAGTTGGCTGCTGGCTGAGGAGAGGTGAGTGTGGACCATGGATTGTATCCTTACAATGTTTACCAATTCTGACTTGTGGTGACCTCTTAACTTCCCTAATAACCTCCCTGTAATTGTGAGTATTATCTGCAAGTTTTGTGTGACCATTGCAACAAATGATTGAACCCAGCATAGAGCCAGAGTGACATGGGAGGAATGAATGGTTCATGTAAGAATAGGATATCTGCGAATATTCTCGCTGTCCTGGTTTTGTGGTAGCCAGGGCAGGCTAACCATTCGCTATATTAAGACCATGCATGTGTCCCCAGGCTGAGTTCTCTCCCTGAGCCTGGTTTTATCAATGCTGGTGATAAGTCTGCATTTCTGTATATGACTGGTACTCTAGGGATCTTTGTTCAAGTTCAAGATGACTGTCTAGTGAAATAGGAAGTAACAAATGCAAATTTTCAGAAGTATGTCTAAAGTAGGGTGATTCTGCAATAATTTGTTGCCATTCATTAATGTAAAATTAAAAAAATAAAGAAAAAATAAAGAATAGGATACAGAAGGATGGAGGGTGAAGGCATGTCTGACCCCTGGCTCGTGGCAATAGGGAAGCCAGAGGAGGTCGGATAGATCTATCTCCACTGCCATGTACCATATCTATGGATGTATCTATGTACTGATGTGTCTATCGAGCTATATTTAAACCAGCATTGAAAACTGTATTGAGTACAGTTCTGCCAACACATATGGGGTCACCAGGAGGCAGGGTCAGCTCAGTGGTGAATGAATAAGCTCAACATATAACTTACCAGAGCAAGAACTCAAACCTGGTGTCTTCGGTCCATTTTTATGGATCTTACCTTCCCGGATAGCTGTGAATGGGACTCCTTCCTCTGCGTTCATGCTGATGACTTTTAAAGCCACTAACTGGCCATTGATTCTAAAAGAAAGGGGGCAAGGGAGAAAGACACACACTTACTGAGGTGGCCCACAGCCCTGATTTACACCAATGGTGGTTTAACAAAAGTAATTGTCTTTCAAAATATATCCCAACACACGATTTCTCAAAATAAAGTTTATATATATACCAAAATGACACCTGGTCATTATAGAAAATTTGAAAAATACAGAAAAGCACAGAGAAACTGTCCCTCCAAATCCTTCCACGTAATATTTTACCTATATTGCTATTTCATTTCCTTCGTGCATATATTTGAGAACTTCTTATATATTTTTTATCTAGCTTAACGATGTCCTTGCATATACACTTCATCCCCCACGGAATACTCAACCAAGTGGTCAGAGGAATGCTTTTACAGTGAAAATCAAAGCAAATGATTTCTCCACTCAAAAACTCACCATTATCTCCCATTTCATGCTGAATAAAAGCCAAATCCTGACCAAGGCCATCGATAAGGTGCTTACAGATCTGCCGAGGTCCCACCATCACCTCTCACTTCTGACCAGTCACCACGGGGTCCACTCAGACTCCGGGCGGCTCCCATTCATGGATCTTTCAGACATGTTTTAACAAAGTTTACTGTTAACCATCATGGGTAATCTTCTTCCTGGTCTGCAGTATTGTTTTAATCATTTTATTGGGGGCTCATACAACTCTGATCACAATCATACATTCATCAATCATGTCAAGCACATTTGTACATTTGTTGCCATCATCATTTTCAAAACATTTTCTTTGTACTTGAGCCCTTGGTAACAGCTCCTCATTTTTCCCTCCCTCCCTCATGAACCCTGGATACTTTATAAATTATTATTATTTTTTCATGGATTACACTGATCAATGTCTCACTTCACCCACTTTTCTGTTGTCCATCCCCCTAGGAGGGGGTTATAGGTAGATCATTGTGATTGGTTCTCCCTTACTCCCCCCACCTTCACCTTCCCCTTCTAGTATTGCTACTCTCAATATCAGTCCCGAGGGATTTATCTGTCCTGGATTCCCTGTGTTTCCAGCTCTTATCTGTACCTGTGTACATGCTCTGGTCTAGCCAGATTTATAAGGTAGAATCGGGGTCATGATAGTGGGCGGGTGTGGGTGGGAAGGAAGCATTAAAGAACTAGAGGAAATTTGTGTGTTTTTTTCAATGGTGTTATACTATGCCCTGACTGGCTCATCTCTTCTTTGTGACCCTTCTGTAAGGGGATGTCTTATCGTCTACAGATGGGTTTGGGGTCTCCATTCCACAGCCGCCCTCATTAACAATGATATGATTGGTATGCAGTATTTTATTCTCCAGACATTTAGTATATTTTGTAAGCATAAAAGATGCAGAATTTACTGTTCTCTGCATAAGGCATCCTTTATAGAAGGCACCCAGGTGGCACAGTGGTTAAACATCCAGCTGGTAACCCAAAGGTTGGAACTTGGAACCCCCGGGCCACTCCCTCTGTGGGAGACAGATGGGCTCTGTGTCCATAAAGATTCACAGCCTTGGAAACCTTATGGGGCAGGCAGTTCTACTTTGTCATACAAGGTCCCTATGGGTCTGAATTGACTTGATGACCAAGACCTTGGCTTGGTCTGGTTTTGTACTTTAAAGACAGCAGCTTCAGTTTCTCTATGAAGGCAGTGTGAAAATATGAAGCAGCAACTCAAGCTTATCATTGGGATTGAGAGAGGGATATGCAAAACCACTCTTCAGTCAGTTTGTTGTACTGTGGCTTGCATGTTGCTATGATGCTAGAAACCATGCCGCCAGCATTTTATTTTATTTGTTTCACAAGTTGCTCTCTACACTCGAGCACTCTTCTGAGTCTTTCAATATCTATTCTGATCTTTTTATTCTAGCTTGTATTTTTTAAATCATTTTTAGGGGCTCATACAACTCCTATCACAATCCCTATATACATCAATTGTGTCAAGCATATTTGTACATTTGTTACCCTCATCATTCTCTAAACATTTTCTCTCCACGTAAGCTCCTGACATCAGCGCCTCATTTTCCCCCTCCTTCCCCACTCCCCTTCCCTCATGAACCCTTGATAATTTATAAATTATTATTTTGTCATATCTTACACTGTCTGACGTCTCCCTTCACCCAATTTTCTGTTGTCCGTCCCCCAGGTAGGAGGTTATCTGTAGATCCCTGTAATCAGTTCCCCCACCCTCCCGGTATTGCCACTCTCAGCACTGGTCCTGAAGGGATCATCCACCCTGGATTCCTGTGTTTCTGGTTCCTATCTGTACCTGTGTACATCCTCTGGTCTAGCTGGATTTTTAAGGTAGAACTGGGGTCATGATAGTGGGGGTTGGGGGGAAGGAAGCATTTAGGAACTAGAGGAAAGTTGTATGTTTCATCATTGCTACACTGCACCCTGACTAGCATTTAAAAACTCACACAGTCTCCCAGGATGAATAGGTTCCAGTGGAACTTCCAGACTAAGAGAGACTAGGAAGAAGGAAAAGACAGTTCCCTTATAAGGGATAAGATGCTGAACTTTCCCAAATAGAAGACTTCTTAAAGGGCTGAGCGCAGGACCAGATGATTTTGAGTGACTAACCATGTAGCTACCCAAGTTCTGAATTGCTGTCCCTCTACTGACATGGTCCACCAGGCTGAGGAGAGGGACTTAGGCTTCTGCACAGCACATGGACACCTTGCTGCTCTCAGGCTTTCAGTGAATCAGAGTGCTGGGGCTGGTATTTCTGGATCACAGCTATGCCACGCTGTGAAGTGCCCACCCAGATGCCAGTAGTCCCCGCCCCACCCACATGCTCATTGTTATTCGCTGGAGACAGCACGGAAGTACCATCAAAGAAGAATGAAGAAAATAGAAGACACATGGGAAAAATTACTCCAGAGGATGAATGGACCACAAAGAACCTCAGCTTCCACAATCCTGAGACCAGAAGAACTAGATAGTGCCCAGCTACCACTGCTAACCACCCTGAAAGGGATCACAAAAGAGCCTCCTGAGTAGAGTGGGAGAACAAAGTGGCAAAACTCAAACAAAAATAGACCAGGCTTACTGGTCTGGTGGAGACTGGTGGAATCCCAAGACTATGGCCCTTAGCTACTCTACACTCCTAGCACTGAACTCACCCCTATGACTTAGCGTTCAGCCCAACAATACACAGGCATAGAGGGGAAGAATCACATACAAGAGGTTTAGACTCCTTTGAACAATCAACCGTACCAAATCAAAAGGACAGCATTTGCCTGGGGATAAAAACTCTTGGAAGCAGGAAGGGACAAGAAAGAAGGATGAATAATAATGGTAAAACACAGGGAGGGTGGAAGTGGGAAGAGTGCTGGTACATCTTGGGGTTTAACTGTACAACCAATGGATGGATTATTGAATGCAAAACCAATTGGCTCTGTAAAAGTCTCAAATCATAATTTAAAAGTTTTTTTTTAACTTAATTGCAAATACCTTTTTTTCTCCCCAACAATATAAATGGCAACAATACAAATGGGCCTGTGCTAGTCTGGGTACTTTAGAGAAACAAATCCACAGCAACTTATGTATAAGAGAGAGTTTTATATAAAGGTTAAGTGTGCATCAAGAAAACATCCCAATCCAGTGCTGCCCAAGCCCACAAGTCCAACATTAACCCATATGTCCAACACCAATCCACAAAGTCCTCCTTCATCTCACAAAACAGATGGAATGATACCGACTGCAGGAGGAAAGCCTAGTCAGTGAATGTGTAAGCTTCTCAGTGCTGGCAGGGGTCTCCACACGGGTGCTCCAGCACACAGGGCTGCATCGGGGTAGGTCTATGCGGCTTCTCCTTGGGGATGTCTTGCAGGAAGTCAACCTTGCAAGCTGAAGCAGGGAACTGGCTAAGGCAGCTGCATCCTGGTCTGGCCATCAGAAAGCAAGAGACCCAAGAACCAGAAAGGTGAGGCTCACAGAGCCATTTATCCCTCCTCCCTTCAATTAACCCCACATGTGTTTATCGGCCAGGTTGGCACAATAAACTAACCCAGGGCCTCAACAGAAGGAATAAACAGTAACCAAATGCACATACACAATGAAGAAGCTCAAGATTGTCAACCAAAACAAGACCAGGGGCTGAGTGTGGAACAGATTATCAATTGCTCATATGCAAGTTCAGGGTGACATCGAAGAAAATCAGAACAAGTCCACAAGAACCAAAGTCCCACCTTGAGTATACGTCACCTGAGTTCAGAGACCATCTCAGGAAGCAACGTGATGCACTGAACACTGATGATCAGACACCAGACAAGTTGTGGTATGGCATCAAGAACATCATACCCAAATAAAGCAAAAGGCCCTTAAAAGCCAGGAGAGAAAGAAAAGGCCAGTGTGGCTGTCTGAAGAGACTCTGAAAGGTGCTCTTAAGTGTAGACTAGCTAAAGCAAATGGGGGGGTGGGGATGAAATCGAAGAGCTTAACAACCAAAACAATCTCCAAGGGCAGCTTGAAAGGACCAAGGAGAGCACTGTACGAACCATAGAAGCCCTGGATCTAGGAAGCCAAACGAGAGGAGCCCGTTCAGCAAACCTCAAGCTGCAAGAACTGAAGAATCAAGCTCTGAGTTGAGGTAATGGAGGATCCGTGGGCAGAATACTGAGCGATGCAGGAACAATCAAAAGAAGATGGAAGAAACAGTCTGTTCCAAAGAGGATTGGTCAGCATCCAGCTGTTTCAAGAGGTGCCATCTGACCAAGGACCATTGTTACTGAAGGAAGAATTCCAAGCGGCAGCGGAGACACTGGCAAGAAAACCAGGCTGGAAGAATTGACGGAATGCCATTTAAAATGTTTCAGGGAACCGATGCCACATTCGTCCATCCGAAGAGCAGAACATCACTTGGAGGACTAAGGCACACCTGCTCCGAAGTAGGTTATTTTCACGCCTTTCAGATGCAGGTGAAAGTTGGGTATCGAGTGAGGAAGGTTACAAAAGAATTGATGCATTTGA